CTCTTTCTCCCTCCCGCATTCTCTTCCTCCTTCCTTCCTTCCTTCCCTCCTTTTTTTTAACTTTAGATGGGGTCTCACTATGTTGCCCAAGCTAGATTCAAACTTGCAATCCTTCCACCTTAGCTTCACAAAGCTTGGACTACAGGCATTTACTCTTTTGCATGGAAGCTCCTCACTTGTTGGACGTGGCACTCTGGAGACCGAGCATCTTGCGACTAGAGTGCTACATGTGACACTGTGGAGTGAACTGCCCCTTCTTACTCGGATACTTGCAAATTCCACCTATTAAACTGGACAGGCTCAACAGAGCTCAATTATTCACTGTGCATTTGAGATCAGGAGCAAATGTAAGAGACTCCTATAAGGGATGCTTTAGCTCTTTCTATGGCTATGGAGATTCAAAAACAAGCTGACTAATGCTTGACACTATTTAGTGGTAGCTCTGCCAAGCTAAAAAGGGACAGAGTACATGGGCCACAGCTACCATCTGACTATCTTTTGACTAAGACTGGATATGGACATTGTGCCCAATAAGCCTAACTGCATAGAGTGGTGATGGCCATATTGGTTACCCCTACCACATCTTGCTGCTTGAAGGGTGAAGCTGGGGTCGGGGCGGGGGGATTGGGCTGAGGATGAAACCTGACCTGAAGGGCTATTTGGTACAGGGATGGTTTTCTGGGATCTCTATCTCTCCACCCATAAAGTCATCCTCCACTTTAGACTTTGAGCTGATAAGACTGGGATTGGGCTGTTAGCCTTCCTTGATATTTGTGACCTGACATCATAAAGCTTGCTGACTGCAGGGAAATATAAGTTCATGTGCCAAAATAATGAAACATCTGAGCAGCATAACTATGGCAACAGAAACATAACAAAATGGCTCAAAGATTGCAGTGTAGCAGTGGTATTAGAACAAACAGGCCAAAATGCTAAATAAGCAAAAGAAATACATATTTAAAGAAATATGGAGTCTAAGTGTTAGCATGCAGAAGATATAAGGATTTTAAACATGAACCTGATAAAATATACTCAAACACACAAGGCAAACATTTACAGAACAAGCAGAAATAATTCCACCAACAATGGGTAATTTTGATATGACTTTCCCAATTATTGACAGACTGAGCAATAAAATCAAGGATGAAAAAGATCTGAACAACACAACTAATATACTTAACCTACTAGATGCGTAGAACATTTATAGTTCATCACATAGGAGACCAAAGCCTGAGATTCTGCACTTCTACAAAGTTCTCAGGTGATAGATGCTGTAGTCCACGGACCACATGTTGACAGCCAGGTACAAGACCATAAAACAAACCTCAGTAAGTTCACATAGACATATTCTCTGACCACGGTGAAATTCTGTTAAAAATTAATAATTAAAAGACAGGAATTTCTTCTTTTGGGGAAACTTAAAACATAAATAGTTCATGAATTGCAGATGGTATCATATATAGTTCATTAGAACGAAAGTATTACAATGTCAAAACTTACTGGATTATTTTAGATGTCAAAAATTGATATTTCAATGGGAATTTACACTTTAAATATTTTATTTGTGAGCCAATATGCAATGTAAGAAAATAAAAGGAATAACAATAAAGTCAAGAAAGTAGAGGAAAACAGATTATGAAAATAAGAGTGGAAGTTCAATTAACAACAAAAAAGATACTATAAAAAGGATGTTTTCAAAGCCAAAATTTGGTTTAAAAAAACAAAATAGTTTAACTTCTATCAGAATTGAGTAATGAGAGGAAAGGTACATATAAACAATGCTGTGAATGGAAGAGACATAACAGGTAAAGCCAAAACTGATAAAGTAATGGACTTCTGCAAAATAGACTAAAAGACATTGAAAAAATAGATATAAAATTTAAAATTATTCAAAATCAAAGTCTAAACTGGAAGGAATTATAGAACAAATAAATGACAGGTAATTCCTTAAGCAAATAAATAGAAGGAAAAAGGAGACAACTTTTAAAAATCTAAAATAAATGAAGGAAGAAAAAGAATTTAAGAGCAAGCTAGTATGGGGTGGGCGGGAGTTGCGGGGAGGAGCTGATGGGGGCAATCTTACCAAAGTCTACTGGGAACTGGCACAATGAATCCCCGTACAACAAATACATGCTAATAAAAATGAACAAAGAGCAAGTGACAAATATTGACGGTCAGAAAGAAGATTTAACATAGATAATAGGAATTTTTAAAAGAGAAAACCAAAGGAAAGCACTGACAAGACTGGGGGCTGGCCTTTAACCTTTCTGTTGTATGTATTGCCTGACAACACAGTAGAGACTTGAACAAATACTAAAAAACATAATTCAAAAACTTTCTTCAAAATATGTGGAACTACATATTGAAAGAACATACCATGTTGCTGAAAAATACCAGCCTAAAATACTCAACATGTAGATAAAACTATAGTGAAATTATTGGATTATAAAGAAAAAGCTCTTTATGGCACATAGACAAAAAGACCAAATGTATTCTAATGGAAAAACATAGATTACCATTAACATTAGGCTTTCCATTGGCTTTACTTTATGCTAGCAGAAAAGGAGCAATTGAGTTTATGGTACTCAAGGGGAAAATGTAAGCTAAAGGATTTGGTATTTATTCAAACTGACTTTCAAATACAAAGACAAGTATTAAACTTTTATTGACATGAATTTGGGGGACTATTAGTCCCATCAGTCCTTTCTGAAGACTGTCTTAGAGAATGAACTTCAAATAACTAAAACAAGTAGACAAGCATTTGCATATGAACTAATAATGGTGAACACTGAAAATAGGTGCTTAAGTTTAGACCAAAAAGATCTAATAAGGTTTAAAGGCAGACACTAGAATATCTAATGTCTGTGCACTCTGGTGATGAAGATATAATACAATCAGTTTTAAAATTATTTAAAAACAAATTCAAATTGAGTGGCAAGAACACAAGCTTAAACACTTTAAACTGTTTTTAGAAATTGTGTTAGTGGTTATGGTACAAAAAAAGGTGAGAAATACATATGAGAAAAAATTTCAACTTTATGAATAGACATTAATAAAGACTTAAATGAGTACAAAAATATATCAAGTCCACGTATAGGAAGACATAAAGATATTAATTCATCCCAGTTACACTTACAGACTAAATGTAAAAACAATGGAAATGCTAATGGGGGTTTTCATAGAATTTGAAAAGCTAATTCTCAGATTTATAGAGAAGAGTATACAAATATCATGTACTCATATATGAAAATGGAAAGATGAGACTTGTGGAAACTATTTCAGGAATGGGGAGGGAGGGATAAAGGAGAGTGATGGAGGGAGTGAATTCAACTATGATATATTGTAAGAACTTTTGTAAATGTTACAATGTAACCAAATATAATAATAATATTATAATAATAATAAAATAAAAGAGTATAATGCCAAGAATAGTGAGAACACATATGATGAAGAGCAGGGTAAGATAAGGACTTACCTTACATCCAGACTCATCTGAAAGTTAAGTTCATTAATTTACTTTGATAGTAGTATGGCAATAGACAAACTCACTAGTGGAAATAAGTCCACTACACTGTCAAAACTGTGAGAGTTGCAGGTCAAATGAGTAGGGAAAGAAGAGCCATTCAACAAATAGAAATGGAAGGATGGCCACTCATAAGAAAAACTCAATGTTATATTCCTACCTCCTTTAATATACAAAAATAAATCCTAGATGGATCAGGGATTTAATTTTCTTTTTTAAAAACTTTAACATTTTTAGTAGAAAAGTAAAGGTTTTCTGATCTTGGGATAAGGAAAAGTTTCTTTAAGAGATTTTGGTATAGTTGTTTATACTAAATTGAGAACTTTTATCAATAGAAATGAAAAAGAAAATAAGCAGTTACGAACTGGGAGATTTTAGCCATGTACCAATCAATAACAAAGGACCAGCATCAAGAATATACAAGTAGCTCTTAACAATGAAAAAAGCATGAAACAACCCATAGAAAAGTACACAAATAGCATGAACAAGCATTTCATAAAGGAGGAAACAGATGTATTCAAAACACAGGAAGAAAATTTAACTACAAGAACACATAGACTAAGATCATCATGAAATGCCATCTTCAACTGGTAAAAATGAAAAGAGTGATAATACTAACTTGGGGAAAACATGTGAGTCCATAAGGTGGAAGTGTAACTGGAATAACCACTTTGGAAAATAACCTACTATTATCTCATAAGGTGAACGTTCAGATTTTTGAGGTCTCCATCAATTCCACTCTTAGGTAAATACACAAAGAAAAACAATTGTAGATGTGTACTAGACACATGTATAAAAATGTTCACAGTAATTAAAACTCTACCCACTAGCAAAAACCTTGATACTACCTGATGTTCATTGAAAGAAATACATGACTAAGATAGTGTAATTTGGGGGGGGGGGGGCTCTACTTGAGTTTGAACTCAGGTCCTTATACTTGCTAGGCAGGTACTCCATGATTTGGGCCTCGTCCCCAGTCCTAAAATAGCATATATTTACATGAAATGCTACATAGTGGTAAAATTAATGGACTATAAGCAATACCCAACAATATGTGCAAAACTTAGCAATATAATATTATATAGAAAGTAATTACTAGATTATTACACACAACTTTCATTAAAACCAAACAAAACAAAAACACATTTTTATAATTATACAAGAACCCAGAATATACACCTACGCACAATTTTAAGTAATAAAATTGGTGGAAGGAGAAGGGTGGGAAGATAATGGAATGGTTTATGTCTTAGTTTTGAATTTGTTAACAAGCTCATTGTTGCTTAAGACATCAAAACAAAAAATAATAGTAAAGCACACATCCCTGAGGGGAAGGTGGGAGGGACAGGTCTAAAGGATAACTGTCACTGAGGTTATGAATTAGGTAAAATTCCATAGCACATTCACTTGATTGCAGAGTGTGTCACACAAAGTTATGTTAGTGGCCACAGGGAGCTGTTACCAACTCCAGTCTCACCTCGATGAGTCAGATTAAAAACAATATTGACACTTCTCTTCCTTAAGTAATTTTCAGCTACAAGCGTGAAGTTGTACATTTCTTGGGAATCTTGAGTTATTTTCCAATTACATAAGTTATTGTGTTTACAACGTTTCTTTTCCCCAGAAAACCTTAAAAAAACAAAGCAAAACAATGACAGGGTTTACATTTTTGTCAAAGTAGATGCATCTTTATCCCTTGGGACTTTCAAACTACATTCCACATAATACATTGATCCATCGCCAACAAACACCAATGATGAAACTCTCATTTCAATGAATTTGATAGGTGTAATTAAATGTGCTAACTATGAAGTGCTGACTCCCCTTTGGGAGTAGTAAGAACATCAATTAATTTACTTTGAATACTCTTAAAAAGTCAGAAAAAATAGGTAGAACCAGACCATCAGATGAAAGACTATTTTCACATAAAGATGTACTATTAACCATCTTTCTTATTTTTATGGTACACATTCTTTAAGAAGAAAAAAACTCTCATGTAGTAAGTATTAGACACCTGTAATAGCTTGAAGATTTCCTCCTGATACCAGCAGGTCATTTTGAAATGAATTTATATGAAACAAATTTTCTGCATCTAAGTATAGCTTTTGTTACATTGTCACATCTTAAATCCTTCAATAATGTAAGAGAACTAACTTACGATTCGAATAAAGTATAACTTTGGGAAGGTTGTTGAGACCAGTCCAAGACAGTGTCTACCCCAGGATTCCACGTACAGCTCAAAGTCTTGAAGTCCTGGGTTTCACAAGAAAAGTCCTTGGGCTCCTCAAGGACTTCTGTCCATTAAAGGAAAGAAAAAATAAAACCAAAGATAAAAGACCTAATTAAACTCTTTTATTTCAAGATAGGTCAAACAAAAAGCTCTATTTGGGGTCTTAAACCAGAGTCATCCCAAACAATGAAGGGATCACTGAGGTAGAAGCCCATAGATCAACAGCCTGAGAAAGTCACATTTCAGGCTCCCCATCATCTTGGCCCCTCCTCTTTCCGGATTCCCTGGTGATTTTCTGAGTTGCCCTGGGGATGGGTAGTTTGGTTATACAAGTGGTTGGCACTGTATACCTTTGAGAGAAGATTGGTCCCCAGTACTGGTGTATGTTTCATTTTGAATGCTGCGACTGACCAAAAGTCAGCCAGATTTTGTGAACTGGCAAAACTGAACAGTTAGGAGAGAATTCCAAGGACTGGTGAAGCTACTCTAAGATACCAGTCACTGCTTTTCCTGGGGGCCGTGCTAAGGGCACGCACAGATGAACTTAGCATTCAGGAGACTGGAATTATTTCCTTAGGTAACAGAAGCAGAGAGATGTCACAGACACTGCCCCACTGTCACAGAACACAGAAGGCCACTGAAGGGGTGCACAGAGACCTACAAAAACCCCAGCATGTTCCCACTCCACTGGTACAGCCCATGGAGCCAATTTGCACAATTAAAACAGTACTGGCCATTTGTTGAACTTCTGCATGCAGCTAGAACATGGGTACCAGGGCTATCCGTGCTCCTTGATCCTCACGACCACCATCATCTCCATTTCACAGAGGTGGAAGGTTGACCAATGGGACAGGCCCAGCCAGGGAAGATCTGAACCCACATTTTCCAAGCCACCATCCTTGTTGCTTTTCTGTGGGTGGGTAACCTATAACCCTTCTCCTCCCTTTGCAATCATGAGAGAATTCCAGCACAGCTGAAATAAAGCAGGATATTTTCTCAGCAGTCAGGTCATGACCTGAACTTTCTCTCCTTTAATAATCTTGGTTTCAAGGAATAAAACTGTCAGTAAGGGCAATAAAACAACACAAAATCCAGGAAGTATTGCTTTAGGATATTGTTTAATGTATCTCTCCCTAGAAGAGTTGGGAAAGGACAGAAAATCAAGACCATGTGTGGAAATGTTTCCTTGTCTTTGGTAAAGGCGATTCAACGTATTCCATAAAAAATGAGAAGAGAGAGACAGAAAATTTGCACACTTACTTGAGACAAATAGAACCACGCCACTGACAATGTTATTCTTCTCATGACAAGAGACAGTTGTTCCTGATTTATTAATGAAAGAGACGTTGTTCAACTTGAATGCCAATACATTTGAATCAAGTTGTTCTCCATGAATCAGTTCTTCTTTCAAATAACAGAGTACATTAGTTAGATTGCTTCCAGCAACGTAACAAATAGTGACATTGGAACCTTCTTCCACCAGTTTACCTCTAGGGAATATCAGCAAAGACTTAGGTCCGGGAGGTTCTTTTGCTGCAAGACAAACAAAACAAAACAAAATGTTTGGTTAGAACTTCATTAAGAATTCAAGACAAACCCCTCCCACCTCACCCTAAGCAGATACCTTTAGCTTTTTCTGTCTTCTGGAGAAAATAGCCTTAACTCCCACACCAAACCCATACCCTTTGGTGCATGCAAAACAATCCTTTCCACTATTGCTCCTATTGTGACATGAACCGCCCCTGTTGCTGTCAAGATAGCACGTTATCATTACCACTGCTGATGACTGCACTATCGTTATCACTAGGTTATTACAATAGCAGTAGCTACTCTCTAGTCTAGAGTCTCAGCCATGTGGGAGGCTGTACCTCCTGTCATCCTTGCTACTTTACAGGTAGATACTTCTAGCCTAAGTCTGCTCAGCTAGTCAGTGGCACCAGCTACAATGAGATCTGGTAGCTGTACCCAACTCCCAAGCCACGTGTTCCTCAAAATCTGACAGAATAAAAGGGACCCTCCTCCAAAGGGTGTTTTTCTACTTCCTGAGTTTCTTTTTTTTCATCTGTCTTTTGGCACTTGGGTTGTTTTCCTCCCATGACTGAAGCTGCCCTGGGGCCAGCAGAGCAGGTTGTCATCATGCCTGGCTGGCTGCTGGGCTGACAACCAAGGTCCCTTGCCCTACACCTGGGGCGGCTGTCATGACAACAGCAACTGCTGTACAAGCGGCCAAGAAGGCAGCAGAGACTGCAGACAGCATTTTAGCCACGGCAGCTCCAGGACAACCACTGGTACAGCTGCAGTTGCTCTAGGTGTCTCCGCAGCCACTCCAGAAGTCTCCACTCCAGTCCATGCTGCATGCCTCCATCATGCTTGACAGCGAAGGGCGGACAGCCCTAGCACACACCACACCTGCAGACCAGCAGAGCAAGACAGAGTCCTTGGGCAGCAGACAGAGGACTTTGCTCCTGCATGACTTGCCCCTCTGTCCACATAAACTTCACTCTTTCCCTACGGATTCCAGTCCAGAAAAGCTCTGGCCTGTGCACTGCCTCCTTAGATGCAGCATGAGCCCCAATAAAGCCTTGTTCAGATGGGTTTATCTCACCTGTTCATGATTTCTGTCTGAAATTGAGCAGGTTGAGCTGGTTGTACTAAGAGCTGGTATGAAACACCCAGGATTGCCAGAGCTGAGAGCTGTTGACACAAGCTGCTGTGAGCTGGTTGGCAGAAAGCTGGTGCCAGTAAGGGAGTTACACTTGGCCTTGGTGATTACTATCCCAGTGGAGCAGAAGAAGCCTCAGCCAACTGGTAACAACTTCACATACACATTCCTTCCCACTTTCTCAGAAATGCCAGTCATTCATCTGTCATCTCCTTTTGCTCAGTCTCTTCTGTTTGGCCCCTTGTATATCAAAGTCACCAGAGCTCTCCCTCTTTAAGGAAACTCACTGTCTTCCCCACCCTCCTGCCACCTTCTTCAGCCTCTCGTCCCAGTTAGTCACCCTGAAAGAGCTGCCCGTCCTTGCCTCTAAGGATTCATTGCCCCTATTCACCTCAGCCTGCTGTAGTCCTCGCTGCCTGAAAAATTCACCAGGCCACTGGAAATTGCCATCACTGGCCTCACCTGTGTCATGTGGCCTGCATTGCCAGATGATTCTACTGTATAATCATGATTGAGAATCAATGCTTTGGGAGATAGGAACTGTCAGGTTTTCTATTTATTCTTGTGTTAGTTTTGAGGTTATGGTTTGAAGAAATCTTAGTGAAGTTCACCAAGGTTGTTTGTAGTGTGTTTATTTCCTTCTCTCTTACTGTCTTTTTAATTGATTTTTCTTTTTCTCTGTGCATGTATCCCTCTCTCAGAAGGATGTAAGGGTGACTAGCACAGCCTCTGGAGCCATATTTTCTGGGTTGGAATCCTAGCCGCCTATTTTAGTGATTCAATTACCTTGTTCCTTAACCTCTGAGCCTCAGTTTCCTCCTCTGTGGAGATACAAATAAAGCCTACTTTGAAGGGCTGATGTGAAGAGTAAATTAATGACTAGTGTTTAAAATGGTAGAAGGTAGGTTTCATTCTATTATTATCATTAATCTAAGCACTAGGTTACTCATGGGTTAATAGGTTGAGATAATAAATTTGCATAATTGCTTAACAAAGAAATGACCCTATTGTCAGAATTTGATTAACTGGTCAAGTGTATAATGAGATAGACAAATGCGTTGCTATAGAACTCATGGATAGCCTTAACTGGAGCATGCAGCTATAGTAAAATCCACTGTAATTTTAATTTCAATAAAATTAAGTTATCAAAATTGAGGGAGATTTAAAACATATTTGTCTATAATCTTATCACTCCAATGAACAGCTGTTTACCTTTTTTCCATATTGCCCCCTTTTTTTTTCTAGACTGGGGATTAGAAAACAATGGCCCATGAGCAAATTCCCCCATCATCTGTTTTCATACGCAAGGTTTTATTGGAACACAGCTAATCTCACTTTTTTTTTGTTTTGTTTTTACATATTGTCTATGGCTGCTTTCAAAAAACAGAAGTAAGTACAGAGACTCTCTGGCCCTTTACAGAAAAAGTTTTCCAATGTCCGTTCTGAGTATATACACATTTTGTGTTGTTTTAATGAAAGCGTATGCGCAATTTATGTCCTGTCTTGTTCACTTAAAATTTTATACAAGACACATTTTACACAAGACGCATTTGGAAAATGAATATGAAATTGTCTGAATTTTTGTAATGGTTAATCTTGCTTGTTAATATGATTAGTTTAAGAAATGCCTAGAAGATGAGTTAAGCACACCTCTGGGTGTGTCTGTGAGGGCATTTCCAGAGATGATTAAGTCATGAGGACTTTGATCTAATGAATGATTTAATCCACTGATGAACTCAAAATCTGAATAGACCATTGACAGGTGCTGGAGCTGTGGAAGGTGTGGCCTGGTTAGAGGAAGTAAGTCACTGGGGCTGTACCCTTTGGTTCTATATCTTGCCCTGGCTACTTCTTGTTTCTGCTCTGCTCGGGCTCTTGTCTGCCAGTGAGGTGAACAGCTCTCCTCTGCCACACACTCCCACTCCCATGATGTTCTGCCCAATTACATGGAGCCAAGCGACCATGGACTGAACCCTCTGAAACCATGAGCCAAAATAAATTATTCCTCCTTTTATTGGTTTATGCCAGGTATTTTGTCACAGTGATGACAAGTAATTTCACAGTGATGACAAAATAATTTCATAATTTCTCAATGAATAAGTTCAGAGGTAAAACCTTATAAATCTGTCTCTCAGTGGCAACTTTCACAACCATGCTTTTTAATTTCAAGACGGGCTAAAGGAAAATAATGTTGGTATCTACTCAGGGTTCCTCAAAGGGAACTTTCATGATTTGACTACTGATTCCTAAGTAATATTAAATATTAACCTAGTCACTCTTATAACCACTTCACTTCTTACCACGAACTTCCTCCCATGAACTCCACTTGCTCCAGAAACTCAGCTCTGGAAACTTGGCATCATCCACCATACTTTTTATTCTTACAAAGTGTGTTGCACATTCCAAAGGGAGCTCAGATTCCCAGCTCCAGTGGAGAACTTGGTTCCACTTCACAGTGGAGCTGTAATTTCCCTAAAAGTAAAGGAAATATTTGGAAACATAAAGCCATCTTGTCCTGAAAAATAGCTCAATCTCATTTATCCAAAAGCACAAACTTCATAAGTATAAGTGAAGTCCATTTGTAACCAGTCAATTCCCCTGGCTCTGATGTCTCAGTAGTTGTGCAGCTATGGCCTCCTGCCTCTTGAAAACTCAACCTTTAATTTCTATGACCATCCAATTCTAGAAGCCCCATGTGGAGCAAGTGAAGAGAAAACAGAAGCCACTTAAGTCATGGGGAAAAGATTAATGACAGAAGGTATTCACAGTGCTAGTCACAGAGAACCTAAGAAAATTCTTGGAAACTAGATTTACAGATATTCTTAAGTAGTTGTTTTAAGCCGGGATCTGATCACGTTAGCCATATCTCAGTAGAGAGGGCACCCCTTCATGGCACCCTAAGAATTCCATTATCTCCATTTCTGAAAGTCAACAGATGTCTCTCCATGTCTCCCTCAGTTTTCTATCTCTTGTCTTTTCAGATATGGTGGCCACATGAACCACACCCCTCTCTTAAGCTCCATCTGTCAGAATCTTAGGCCCCAGAGATGTCAATTGCATAGAATGAGTTATGTTGGTCTTTGGGAAGCTTGCCCAGGTTGAACTGAAATGGTCTTTTGGCACAGCCTTTGGTCTTGATCTTTCCAAGACAGTGGCCTTTCTATTTTCTAATTCAATAGGCTCCAGCAGCTCCATTACATCTTACTCCAACATTCAAGGTCTTCTACAATCTGGCTCCCACCAATCTCTCTCTCAGGAATCTTCTCTCTGGACCTAGGGGACTGCCCAATACTTTCGGAATACACCTGTGCTTTTACATCTCAGTGTTAGTTCATGCAGTATTCCTCGGTTAGTGTCCCACCCTTCCCTCTTCGTTAGGAATCAGTTCCATTCTTGAATCTCAGGTTATTCCTCATCTCCTTCATGAAGTTTTTTGTTTGTTTGTTTTTGTAGTGTTGGGAATGGAGTCTAGCGCCTCCTGCATGCTAAAGCAAGTTCTCTACCACTAAGCTACACCTCCAAACCCTATAAAGCCTTTCTTGTTCTTTCTTCTGAATTCCTCCTATCTCTACCGCCCATGATATGCCCTCCTGTATACTGTGTTTAGTTGTTAGTACTTGTCTGCGAACCTAGCATAGCCTGAGTGAGCAGGAACCATGCTTCCCTATTCTTTGTGGCTGATAGCTCCATGAACTCACTCTCCTCAGTGTGCCTTCTCCAGGACTCCTTTTCTGTCCCCATAGCTGTGAGATGAAGACCATAAACACTTTGCACTTCCTGAGGAAACTGAGTCTGAGTCTTCCTCCATGTATATAAGGGCAAATGACAAGTCCTCAGTGAAGGGGATGGGATAATATGCATGTCACATAGCACCTCGAGGCAGCAACTGTGAGGCCTTCCCCCACTACGCCTGTGCCCTGTCCAGGTTGCTAAACCTTAAACTATGTTACTGGTAGGACTGAGAGTGCTGGAATGAGAACACCCTAGTCCAATAAGGCACATTTAATCGTGTACCTCCTTTTCACTCTACACAGAACTTTGAATTTTAAAGTGATTTTGTTTTATTTCATTTTATTATATTACTTTATTTTTAGATAACTAAACATATTATCTACAAGTTTTGAGGCCCTGATCCATGAAACTTTCACTATTTAATGTAAATAATCTTCAAACATTTTGCTTAAATATCTTAAAATTTAAAAGCAAATGCCAAACAACAGAAGAAAAGGTAAAAAAAACAATATTAATGATGGTTACTTTCCATAATGTTAACAAGCCACAGACTGGATTTTATCTCCTGACTCTCTCTCAAAGTCAGCCCCTTCTCTCATCCCATGTCTACCGTCATCAGAGTTCACAGCCCATTTCCTACTGGCCATACTCCCCTTCTCCATCTGCTCTCCACTGCACAGCACAGTGGGCTTTAAAAATCTTCTTGCCACTCCCCTTCTTCTTACTGCTTTTGGGATTAAAAAAAATGAAACCTGAGCATGCTCCTCGAAGCCCTATGTGGTATGATCTCATGCCCACCTGCCCCAGACACCCCTCTCACTTGCCTCTGATCACACCTATTGGGACATCTCTAAGAACCCTTCATCCTGTAGCACATTAGCAGTGACATGCACCTTTACATACTTAGAACACCCCTGTTTGTATTTATTCCCACATTCCTACTGGTATGCTTAGCACTGAAATTCCCATGCCGTGCACAATGCCTGACCTGGGCCCACAGTGTATCACTATGTGCCAAATAATTTCATCACTTCATTAATATGCAGTGGGTTGTGTTTCTCCCAAACACTCTGTGCAGATTCTGTCTAACATCAACCTCTGCTTTGTGGTCTTTACAGCCTTGTAAATGAAAGAGATAAAACTGTCTTTGCATTTATCAATTCACTGATTTTTTTTTAAATGTGAAGAATCTTCATTGGGATATTTCATTTGCTGAAATGGCAAGCTTAATTTGGTCTTGCAGACATTAGTAAGTCATAGAAATTGGCACACATATGAACATAGAAATTGGCACACACATGGACTTCTGACTGAAGTCACTGATTCATTGCTGAGGCATGACCTATGTCCCGAAACTGACATATGCTCCAGGCCTCCTTCCAAGCTGGAGTTGCTGCTCTGCCTTCCCTTGCCAATGACAAAATCATACAGCAGATGGCTGTAAGGAAAGGGCAGATGCCCGGCCCAGGCCAGGACCATGTAATGTGGCTGTGCATGGTTAGTACTATCTGGCAGGTGCCCTGGTCAGCTGCAAGCACCAGAATTGGATGGAGATGCTTTTCCTTTGGCTTGTTTGGGAACACAATGGCCTGAGACAGTAAGTGTGGAAACTCCCCTCTACACATGAGCGAAGATGTCCCGACTGGCTTTCATTGCAGAGAATGCCTGTGGAAAGGAGAATGTTGCCCAGATGAGAGTAGCTCTCTTGTTGGGTTTTCTCCTCCTTTACTGGAAGAGAATCTATGTCTCAAGCTTTGGAGGGTCAAACAAGGGCTTTTCATGGCAACATCAGTTCTGTGGGACACGTAGCCACTGATGGCTCAGGGCACCTACATGTGGCCATCTTTCCTGTCTGCCTATGAGGGTAAAGAATGATGATACTTCCTTGCTTTTGTCACAATGAACAACATGGCAAACCTCTCTTTGTCATGGTTTTCTGGCATGTTATAAAAGACAAATTATGGTATGAGAAGGATTTTTCAAGTATTGAACAACAAAAAAACATACTTACCACCCAGATGACGTTCGATATTCTAATTCTACTGATCTCTATCTGAAATACCATTTTTAATTCCTGATGAAGAGGAAGGTTTTGAACAGTCCATTGTAAATGCAAATACTGAAGTGTGGAATTCATGGAAACGTTCAGTGACTCAGGAGTCAATGAGAAATGTTCAGTCAATCCTGAAAGACCAAAAGAGGTAGGAAATAATATTTAACAGGAGCTTAATTGGATGGTCACAGTAATTAAACTGTCTAATATCATCATTAGTTAGCTTTATGAAATATTACTCATATGTGCATCCTAGAATCAGAATCAGCAGAGAGCAATTTAGAAATCACAGCAGAGAAAGAAACTAAGATGTAAATGAATGAGATAATTTGCTCAACAATCCTTAGAAAATTAGTAAACTGGTAAACAGTTAAACAAGAGTGTTTTTACTCAACGATCTACCTGGTTTGAATTCATAACAGGGATGTAAAAAGAGGATTTTTCTTTGCCATAAGTGCTGTATTCTAGAAATAAGAGGTAAAATTTTCTTCTTCGAAAGTCAAAGTTTCATAAATGAGAGAGCATGTCCTATCTTTAGACATCATTCCTTGTCTTTCAACAAACTGAACGTAAAACACTTCTCACAAAGATTTATCCAACTCTTTGGATAAGACCAGCAACATATGAGGGACTTCATGTGAAATAAAATACTAGATCAAAGAAGGAGCCTAGTTGAAGAGACACAACAAACACAAGAATAACAAGAGATTGTATGTTTAGAGTGGTGTGATGAAATCTGTAAAAGATAAGAATTCAAACATGAATTGTGGAGCTCTTTGACCTTGGAAAGTGGCCCACTATCTCTCAGACTGCCTGTTTTTAGCCTATAAATAGCACTACTGCAAATGCTGTATACACAGAGCCCCTCCACTGCCAGCAGAGAGAGAATAGGCCCTGAGTCAAGTCCTGCTGATTTGTAGAGAAGAACAAATCATGAATGTCCATATAAGAGGAGGAAGCCTCATATCGATTTGAGAGGAATTACGTGTTGCTGATTCAACTACTTCAACTGTTGAATTGAGGGAGTCTGAAGTAAACTGGGGATGGTATGAAGGTTTTGAAAAGATAAAGACTGTCTTGATAAAATCAGCTGGTGTCAGATGGCTCGTGGTATAACAGATATCATCTCTTAGATATCCATTTCCTTAGTTCCTTGGAATTTACTAGAAACCCTCTAACATGAAATCTCAAAGACAAGAGAGGGGTTGGGGGTTGGCTGTAGCTCAGCTAAGCACCATCCAGAGTAATTAGCATGAGGAAAGCCATGGGTTCAATTCTCAGCATCTCAGCACCTCCCCCTCCAAAAAGAAAAGGCAAGAAATTATCTCTTTTTGACAACAAAAATGCAAGTAATCTCCAATATTGGAAAAAAAATCTTCAAATTACCAGTATATACATGCCATTTTTCCTCACAGGGAAGTAAAACTAGCAACATTGTTGAGTACATATTATTTACCAAGGATAATGGTTGCTGCTTTATTTATGTTGTCTCATGGAATACTGTAAGACAGTAATTTTTTTAGATAAGGAAATGGAATCTCCATGAGGTTAAACAACTAACAAAAAGCTATCTGGTGTTTACATAGTGATCTCCCTAACATCACACCCATATTCCTCTTTGTTATACTGCTCCTCCACTGTGGATTCAGGAGCAATTGTCCAATTAAAGGTCTCATACTGAAAAGTATGTGTCATGGCTTCAACAATGTCCTGCCAAACTCAGGATACAGTTGCTAGGATGGGGCTCTGGATGAAGCCCCATCCAGATACAAGAAAAGGATGAATTTTTTCACATTATTGGTTTATATGGTAGAAGGTTCAGATCCAGGTAAGGCATTACCCTCAGAATGTGGAAGAAAAATTCAGACATTAAATTATATGGAAGACTAATAAGAACACCCAAAAAGTGAAAGCTAGGAGCCATCAATAGCTACCTTCACAGAAAGTTACCCATCCTTTGTGGGTGACGTTTCATAAATGCAATACTGGAGAGAGTGAAAGTATTTGATGTGGATCCCATGACCTTGGATTTGTCAATGGGACACACAAAAAGCATGAGCAACAAAAGAAAAATCAGATTAACTGAATGCCGTTCAAATTAAAATTAAAACTTTTGTGCATCAAAATGCATGATCAAGAAAGTAAAAAAAGGCCAGGCATTGTGGCTCACTTCTGTAATCCCAGTTACTGATTAGGCAGAGATTGGGAGGACTGTGGTTAAAGGCCAGCCTGAGCAAAAAGTTAGTAAGACCCCATCTCAACAAAAATACCGGAGATGGTAGTGCATAGGTAGGAAGATTGTGGCCTGAGGCCAGCCCTGGGCAAAAACACAAGACTCTATCTGAAAAATAACCTAAAAAGAGAAGAAAAAGAAAGGTAAAGTAAAAGGGCTGGGGGCGTGGTTCAAATGGTGGAGTGCTTGCCTAGCAAATACAATGCCCTGAGTTCAAACCCCAGTACTGCCAAAAAAATTTTTAAAAAGGAAAGGAGGAGGTAAGAGAAGGAAGTAATGGAAAGAGTAATGAAGAGAGGAAGGGAGGGAGGGAGGGAGAAAGGAGGAAAAAGAAAGAAGGGGAAAAAATTTACTGGGTGGGAGAATAAATTCACAAGTCATGGATTTCATAAGGTTCTAGTATCCATAATATATAAGGAACTCATAAATCAGCAACAGAAAATGCACTCTATTAAAAATAGGCATAGTCCTTGAATGGGGATTTCTCCAAAGAAGATATACAAGTGGCCAACAAGCACATGAAACAATGCTCTATGTTATTAACCATTAAGAAAATGCAAATCAAAACCAATGAGATACTATTTCTTACCCATGATGAAGACTTTAGTAATGATAAAAAAAATCTATATAACATATGTTGGCAAGGAGGCAGAGAAATTTGAAATCCCTGTGCACTGTTGATGGGAATGTAAGATGACTCAAAACTGTGGAAAACATTCTGTCAACTCTTCAAAAAATTAAAATAGAGTTATTATATGACCTACAAATCCCATTCCTAGATCTCTGTGTCAAAGAATTGAAACCAGGGATTCAAACAAACACTTGTCCACAGATGTCTGGAGCCACAGCATTCATGATTGCCAAAAAATGGAAAGAAGTCAAATGTCTACCATGCCCATCAATGGACAGCTGGAGGAACAAAACAGAAACTTGTTATTCAGTCGTAAGGAGGAACACAGTACTGATACATGCTACAAATTGGATGGAACTTAAGAACACTATACAAGTGAAAGAAGCCAGATAGGAAAGGTTATAAATTATATGATTCCACTTATATGAAATACCCAGAATAGGTAATTCCACAGAGACAGAAAGCAGATTATTGGTTCCAGTGGCTGCAGGGAGAAAAATCAAGAAACACTGCTTAATAGAGTTTGCTTTTGAGGTGATTAATATGTTTTGGAAATAGAGCTGGTGTTTGGACAATACTATGATATGTTAAATGTCACTGACCTGCTTACTTTAACCATAAAATGGTTAAATTTTTTTTGTGAATGTTACCTCAATAAAAAAATAGAAATATACATAATCATGATAAAAATGCTCAAATATTACAAAAATTGAGTTCCCACCATTCACTAACCCCACTTTCACTATATCACCAAAGTTAAGTTAGATATGTTTTTTCTTGAATTTTTTTTCATACTGCTATGTTTTGGATATAGTTTGAGTATGTCCACCAAAGTTTCATATGTTGGAAACTTGGTCCCAAGTATAGTGATGTTTTAAGGCTGGTGAAACCTTTAAGAGGTGGCGCCTAGTAGGAGGTGGATAGGCCACTAGGGAATTCCCTGGGAAGGGATTAATGTGGGTCAATGTGACTCCAGTTAATTTCTTCAAGAGTGGGCTGCTATAAAAGAGTGAACCTTTCCCCTGACTCTCTCTGGCTTCCTGTCTCACCAGGTGATCATTCTCTCTTTCTTACTCACACTCCCATCATGATGCTACCTGCTGTAAGAAAACTGATGGAGCTGCCTGGTTTTCAACTTTCAGCTTCAAAACTGTGAGGTAAATAAACCCCTTTTGTTTCTAAGGTACCCAGCATCGGATATTTTGGCAACAGATAATAGACTGATACACACATACTTTTAAAAAACATATTGGACTATGTACCCCATTTTTTTGTTGTTGTTTTAAGCACATGAGTAGGGTTTTATTGACCTGTAGAGGAAAGTAAAACTTAAATTCTAACAGTCATTATTTCTGGATGGTGAGATTGAATAATTTTAATTATCATCTTTATACTTTTCTTTATTTCATAAATATTCTTTGGAATCATGTGTTGGTTTCAGAATCACATAATATGCTATATTGATAAGAAATATTCCTGTGAGATATCTGGGTCACCAGTATCACTAGTACTTCACTATAAAGACATTTCCGAATGCATATTCCTCCATGACTTTTCTCACCCTGGTTTAGAGGGCTAAGCACAGCAGGCTGAAATAGGCTGTTTCTGTGTTTGTCTCCCATGGGCTATGACGTAAACAGAATGTGACTAAGTCTTACTCAGGTCAAGGAAATCAAGACTAATAACATATCAGTCAGTACAGACATTCCATGACTGGTTGGTGAATGAATGAGTCACCTGTCAGAATAACTTTCTTTCTGGAAGCTCTACAAAGGTATGATATGTTGTTCTCTATAAAAGGAAGTTCTTTGAATTAACATATGCTATCAACAAATGTTGAATGACTCAGGTACTTGAGTAATATCAGTCAGAAGTACTTTGATCAAAAGCAATAATATGCCAAGGTAAAGCCAAAGACATAACCATAACATAAGATTATTAAATCCAAAGCCATTGTTTTTCAGATAAGTGAATTGAGGTTAAGAAAAAGGGAATTGACTTCACCATGGCCACACACCAGACCAGATCTAGGGCTCCTGGTCCCCTGCTCAGTTCTCATTTCCTGACACTGAAGTGTGTGGTCAAGGAGGTCAGGCTTGGGAATCAGACCCAGACTTAGTTACAGAGTGCCCTTTCATTTTCCCCACCCAGTTTCTCTGACTGGCCTATTTAAGGAAATAAAATGTAGTCCATTCACAAGATGGGATACCATGAAGAACTTAAGCATAATGTTATTTCTAGAAGGACATTTAATGTCAAAGGGAATCATTCATCCTATATTGTATTGTTTATATAACCAAAATGTCCTCAGAAGATATATAAATTTTACTATACCCCATATGTCTACATACCTATATATAACTATATATTCCTATGTATAATGTAATTTAGCTTTTATTCAAAAATCACATATTTACATTTTTATCTGTGTGTACATACACATGAAAAAACGAGGAAAATACATCAAAATGCTGCAGTCAAGATCTCTAGGTTAACTGAAAAGAGTCTTGGCGCTGTCTCATTGGTTGGAAGATATTAAGCCAGGTTATTTGAAATAACTTTTCAGACCTGAATATGGCTGGTGGATCAAATGGTAAGTCAACTAGTGTGAGTGGAGGTTAGTAGGAACTCAGTCAAATGCAGCAGAAACTGAAACAAGAAATCCAGATAATATGGGTAAGGACACAGACTTACCAAAGAAGGTCTGCTTGGCCAAGAAAGCTGGAAGCAGAAATGAAGGCTGTTTGACAGGAAAGTAGGGAAATGCAACTCTGATCTAAATAGCTAAAACTGAGAGTAGAATGCATAGGGTGCCTCACACATGGAAGGCACACCGTAAAGAGTTGTTGGATGAGACAATGAGACTTCACTAGGAAAATGAGCCAAAACGCTGGAGCTAATGCCTGGGACTGCTTGGAAAACCTGGAGTTAGAGCAGGGGGCCTGTGTCAGAATCAGGGACCCCAGCTAGGCTGAACCATTCTTACAGTTCTACCCACGCAGCTCAGGCAAGACAGGCTGTGTGCTATTCATGGGAAATTCTAGTACCTACAGTTCAGCCACACATTTTGGGAGAAATCAAATTTTTTAAAAATATTCTTTTTTTTTTGGCTGTACTGAGGATGAACTCAGGACCTTACCCAGGTGCTCTACCACTTGAGCTGCTCTGCCAGCTCACACTACGATTATTAAGAAGCCATGAAAAAGCAGTATTTTCCTATGTGCCCTGGATCAAAAATAAATAGATCCAGATGTAAAGAATCGAGCAGAGCATTGAACTATGAGCAGAACAAAATCTCTTTTTTCCCAAATATTTTCATGGAGTTTTAAAGAGATGGTGAGAAAGTCTATACACATTCCTTACACACATTTTCCTGAATCTAAAGACAAGAATTTTTGGATAATTCCTAAGAGGATACATCTGTATTCTTTGTTACAAAGTAAGTATGGCAAAGAATAAACACAGGAAGAGTAAAATATAAGTTTAATAAAATATGGGTGAATGCAATGAACTTTTATGAACCAACAGAAACTCCCTCAAATCTAATAATCTAAGTATGTTCAAAGCAATAGTCAAGACATCTACAAACATTTGAGAGGGTTAAGTTTCTGTTGACCTGACTCAAAATGCCCTCCCTTGAAGAACAGCCAAGTGACAAATATTTCTTTAACCATAAATAGCACTTTGGCACTTGTGACATTGTCTTTCAGAGACTTGAGTTTCTGTTGGCTCACAAACTTCCATCACTTTCATCCACATCTTACAAAGCTAACAGCTTCACAATGAATGTGACTACTGGTTCTAACTCAGCAGCCAAAACTAGTCTGGTATATTCCATGTCTTTACCCAGCAAGGTACAGAAGAACTACTTCAGCAATGGCTTTGGTAAAAAACAGCAATCATGAAGTTCTGTGGGATGAGATCCACTCACCACCACACTAATGAGCAATGTACTGACCATAAGGAAGGGCTTATGAAATATGCTATCAGGATGAGGGAGGCCAAGACCAAGGCAACCATTGCCTTGAGAGACCGACATACCTCCTCATTTGAGCTACTCACCAACTCCATATAATTTCCAAAGGAAAAGAAACTTGCTTAACTTATCTCCAAAGCATCAATTATCTCATCTTTTCTCTATGTGATTTTTTTCCTTTACTGTACTTTCTGCTTCTTACCTTCACTTTGGTAAGTCCTCAAGGACAGCAAAGCTAAGAGGAATGTTGTCTGAAAGACAACAAAGGAAGCCATAGGTTCTGGTTTTCTGAAAAAGATAAATTACAAAGAGGAATTATATTTAACTTTAACTTCCAGAAGCTTTCTTGGAGCCAATTGTGATGGATGATGACATTAAAGGCTTCCACTCAACAGGTTCTGCCTAGAAGCAGAGTGGGGTTGAGTGGGGTGGGGTGGGGGGGTAGGGAGGTGGCACAAACAATGTATATACACGTAAATAAATGTAAAAATGATAAAATGAAAGGAGAAAAAAGAAAAAATAAATAAAGGCTTCCACTCTCCTTTCCTCCTTGTATCTAGGTCTCTTGCCATGTGACTTTGGAGGAGGAATAATTTCCCTGTCTCAAGAAATGTTCTTTAGTTCATAAAAGAGTCATAATTGGGAGTGTACTGGTTAGGCACCTAGTCCTCGAGAGACCTTATGTATTTCTGCTTGCTCTTTTGTGCTTCTATCTTTTAACAGGAAGAGAGCATTTCTGGGCTCCCCTACTGGAACCAGGTGGCAAATCAACAATGCACGAAGAGAAGCCAACCTACATGAGCCTGCAGCTGACTAGCTTCGGCCAAGAGCCACTGACCCCAGGTGCAAGTGCAAGGAAGACTTGCTGCTGTGAGCTGCTGTGGCTTGGTGGCTATAGATAACTGAATGACCAACTCATTCAAACTAAGAGAAGGTTGGTAAAGAAGGGTAAAGCAGAGAAACAAGAGTTAACTATGAAAAAAATAAGGAGGACAAATAGGGTAGTGTCAAATGGGCTAACGTTAAATTAATTTCTTGAGGTTGGGGAAACATCTCCTTTCTCCCCTATCTCTCTTATCGTCCTGGAATGAATTAAAATTTAACCTAGGAAAACAGCGTAAATCCACCAAGAGACAGTTTTTCATTGTTCTGCATCATTTCCTGTTTCCCTTGCCTCAGAAGAGAGTTGTAAATTATAGGCCAAATAGCTTCACTGACTCAACAGGTACTTTGATCATGGAACAATCTGAGGGCACAAGGAATGAGCCCGGATGACCTCAACAAGGCCAATCTGTTCTTAATTTAATAACAATTGCATTAGTCAGGGAAGCACTGAATTTCACTTTTCAACCTTAGATTCTGATTCAGCAGAGAGCAGCAATGCAACAATTCACTGAATGCCAAGTTTTGCCTCTCTTCAGTCACCTAGACTTCATCAAAAGCTAAAAATTCAATTTTTACTACTCATATCCTACAAAAAATAATTTTTCCTGTGTTGGGCATCAAACCCAGTGCTTTGTGCATCTTAGGTAAGTGCTCTAACTCTGAGCCACATTCCCAGCTCACACCCTATATTTATTTTTTAAACAGCATTTTACCAGATAAGTGAGAACTACAGGGAAGACAAGAAAAGGGTCAACTCCATATTAAATGACTCTAAGGTGGTCATGCCTACCTACCCATGAGTGCCACGAAGCAGAAGCAAAGTCCTGCCAAGGGCAGCTCTTGTTCACATTCCTTTAAGCACTGCTTTCTGATGCTTTCTATTTTTGGCAAGCACAACATTCATACCTCTCCAAAATCTCTACTCAAAACTTCAGAGAAGATCCTAGTATCAAAGCCAGGGGAGGGCCAACACAAAAGGAACTACTTCTTCTCAGACCCAAGGGGAAAAGAAAGGCCAAGGTCCAGAGGGAAGCATCTGGTGCTCCCTGTGCACTGGACGCTCCCTGTAGTCCTGGGTATGGGTGCAGCATGTCCTCTTGCTCATACCCGCTCCATCTGAGGGATGCTATGGCCATGCTGAGAAGGAAATCTACCCTCACATATTTAAAAGCTGGTGATTCAGAGGTGAGATGCAGTCTCCAAATGTTCTCTTTATGCAAGGGCTACTAAAAATGTTTCCAAAATGTGAAATTTTCCCATTAATTTTTTTTTCCTCTTTGAATGAGACTGGGGTTTGAACTCAGGGCTTTGCACTTGCAAAGCAGGCACTCTTCTGCTTGTCCATTTTGCTCTGGTTATTTTGGAAAGAGAGCCTTGTGAACTACTTGCCTGTGCCAGCCTTGAACTACTGTCTTCCAAATCCCAGCCTCCCTAGTAGCTAGGATTACAGGCATGAACCACCACTGCCCAGCTACATGTCACAAAAATTAAAGAATTCATAGGAACAGAAATACTCAAAACTAAAAATCAGAAGCCACTTACCACTTACAGGTAAGCAGAAATTAAAGAATAAAAGTTGTCACATAACACAAAAGCCTGCCTTTGGGGAATCCCAAGAACATCTCTAAGAATCGTAAGGACTGTCCTCTCCGGAGTTCCCACCCTTCCAGCAGTCTCTCCTACCTGTCAGGCTGTGAATCCTGGGACATTAGCTTCAGCAGCTGTTCCAACCTCCTGCTCTTTCTAAAGTCATCTGTTCTGACATTCATTCACCACTTTACACATGCTGGGCAGGCAGCAATTATGCCACAGTGGTCACACACGCTAAGTGTCGTTTCACTTTCCTCGATTTCACTTCCCCACAATCTGCTGTAGTCTGAAAATACAGAAGGGAAATTTTCAGAAATAAAGAATTTGTAAGTTTTAAATAACTTTTATTTCAGTTTATTATAATTGTTCCATTTCATCATTATTTTTGTTAATCTCTTAATGTACTTAATCTATAAATTAAATTTTATCATAGGTTTGTATGTACAGTATAGTATAGGAAAACAACCTAGTACATATAGGGTTTGGTGCTATCTCTCATTTTGGGCATCAAGGGAGTGTCTTGGAATGTATTCCTGTAGATAAGGGGGGCCACTGTGGTTGGAGGACATCTGCTATCCTCAATGTTTCAGGCCCCAAAAACCCAAGGACCATGGGTAGAAGGAAAAGAAGTCCTGGCTGTTGTCTGAAAACCTCCTGGAAAAGTCAGCAAAGTTCCCAACAATGTGCTGACTGCAAGTTGTCAGCTGGAAGAAGCTCCTGGAGCCCTCTTTCAGAAATGCCAGAGAATAGTCCTGATTGCCCACAGGGTAGTGCTGGGTGGAAAAACACAGAGAAAAATGACTTCCAAACCTCAGGAGAGGGCACCACCCACTATAATAAGCCCTCTTCAAGTTATCCTAGCCCAGTGTGCCACCTGTTTCCTGCTGGGATCCTGACCAATACGGTGAAACCTGGAGGTGATGCAACCACTAGACAGAGCCCCTGAGGTGGGAGAGCGCTGGACAGACTCCAGGCACAACTATAAGGCAGATGTGGCTGAAGGGGGAATAGGTGATGAGGGGAATCGAGGAGATGAGATCCAAGGGACTCGGAGGAGAACAGAGTAGGCACAATACTAGCAAAACTTAAGCTGTGACTCTGAGCGAGTAGGAACCACTAGAAGATTTTCAACAGAGGTGTGGGATGACTTACAAAGAACAGAACCCTGAAATGAGGAGGGAAATGGAGGAGCAGGAGAAGGGAGAGAGTTCAGGGCATCAGAATAGACCAGGTGAGAAAGAAGGGGGCTTTGGTTAGGGTAGGCGCCAAGGAGATAGTGGGAAAGGGGTTGGAATTCAGGAGAGATTATAAAGATAGAACTGACAAGACATGGGGTAGTGACCAAGTGAGACCTCATGACAAGCTCTGAGAATTTTGGCCTGGGCCTTTTGAAGAACTGAACCACCATTTATAGCAAGGCAGAAGACTAGGCTAAGACACAGATGGAGAGGGTGCCTATCAAGAGTTCAATTTATGATATAAGTTTGAGATGCTTCTTTGTTCTTCAAGGGGAGACACCAACAGCTAGCTGGATACACAATTTGGAGAAAGTTCTTGGGTCGGGTTCTGAGCAAGGAAGGAGTAAATGGGGAAGAAGAAATTCAGGCATCCTTCACACATATGCACAATATGTAAAGTCACAGGACTAGATGGTCATCAAGACAAGAAGTAAAGATAGAAAAGAAAGGAAGTCAGAGCCCAGAATTCTGGGGCCTCCACAGCCTACACGATCTCCTCCCAGTACACACACACACACACACACACACACACATATCATGCAGATGGAAATGGAAATCCCGGAGTAAAACAGGCTTTTCTGCATCCTCAAGGATGAGGATTGTGTGCGGACAGGCTGGTGGGCTAGCGCCAACCTCTGGACCTGCCAGCAAAAGCCAGCTGCTGAGCGCATCCTCAACGTTGCTCTGGGCGCACATGCTTGGGTGAGTCCCCACTACCCCCTGCTCTGCTGGCCACATGCAAAAGGCCATCCAGCTTCTCCTCCATCCAGCAGGCTCTCAAAGCCCAGTAACCAACACTGCTACTTGCAATTTCCATAAGAAAGGGAAGTTGGGAAGCAGAATTCTGAATTCCTAAACAAACAAAACTCCATTTCCTACCCTATCTGTTCTTTATCTCTGTCTATTTCTCAGATCTCCATCATTCTGGAATTGATGATGAGTCACTGAAGGGAAAGCTTGGGTCTTTTACCCATCCTCAATCAGAGACCCAGAACACAGCTGCCACCCAAGCAATACCTGCCTACTCATTTTATAGAACTTTTCCAAATCTTGTCTCAGCAAAATCCCATTCTCAGTGAAGATATCTGTGAATATTCCTCAGTATAAATACTACCTGCATAATAAAATACAACTTTCTTTTTTTTGGGGTGATACTGGAGTTTGAAGTAAGGACCTTGACAGCCTTTTTTTTTCTTTTTTACTTTACTTATTTTTCTGATAAGGTCTCCTAGGTTTTGTTTTTGTTTGTTTGTTTGTTTTGTTTTTTGCCTGGGCTGGTCAGGACCACAGTCCTCCTACTTACTCTCACACCTAGCTGGGATTACATATGTGCATCCCTATACTTGGCACCACACAGCTTTTTCCTCTCTCTCTCTTATTAGTGTATATTAATTGTACAAAGGGGTTTCATTGTGATATTTCCATACAGGTATATAATGTACTTTGATCAAATTCACTAATTCTGTTACTTTCTTATCCTCCTTTCCCCCTTTTAAACAATTTTTATGGGCTTCATTATTCTATTTTCATATGTATGTATGAAGTACTTCAATAGTATTCACCCCCCCTCACACTCTCCTTTCACCCTCCCCCTCCCACAAGTTCCCAGCACAAACAGTGCCCCTGTGTTACTTTATTCTTGACCCATTCATGTTTTTAAGGTCTAGATTCTGCATATGACAGAGAGTGTGCCATATTTGTTTTCTCAGTCTGGCTTCTTTTACTTAGCATGATGATTTCGTTGTGTGTAAGTCTGTCCTTCCTCAGCAGCTCTCCTTCTATAATGACTGCAATATGTCTTCCTGGGAAGTTTTCCCACCACAAAGAATCCCTGTGAGACACAGCCTAACGATAATCATTTGCTTCCTAAGAACTCGGGCAGGCGTGTTGCCAAGTTCTTCAGAACTGGCTGGGAGACTGGATGATGTCTATGCAAATACCATTATGAAGAAGGAAGTTGTTTGTGGACGGCACTGCCTGGAAGTGTGCATTTATGAGAGTTCTGTTCTCAAAAGAACTAGAACATTCTGCAGGGTAGATTGTATGGTAGGCCATGCAGCAAGTCTCAACAATTTTTAAGAGGGATGGGGACAGTGGGGAGGTGGCACAAACAATGTATACACATGTAAGTAAAAATGACAAAAGAAAAGGAGAGAGAAAAACAATTTTTAAAAATTGAAATCATATTGAGAATCCTTTCCAAGCACAATGCAGTAAAGCTAAAGGCCAGTAAGATCATCCTCAGATCCAGCTATCTTTACTTCTCTTTTAAGAGTGCTGCCTTTAGTTTGGGAGCCCCTTTGAGGAGTCCATCACTACAGCGTAGGACTGATCTCAGCCCATGTCCCCTCCTCCCCAAGCTTCTACCACCGAGAGCCATGCCCACCGGAAGGTTCTAGTGCTTCTCCCCTCCCTGGCCTTGAACCCCTCCAGTGGAAAACACTTAAATGTTTCTGCCAGTTTTACATGGGAGAGCTTGATTTAAGGGATTAAATTAGCTCCTATACAACTGGTTTTTCTTTTGAAAAACAATGTGGGGAAAAGGTGTAGGAGGGGAATATGGTGCAAATTCTGTGTATACGTGTATGAAAATGGAAAAAATGAGACCTGCTGAAACTATTCCAGGAATGAGGGGAGGGGAATAAAGGAGAATGATGGAGGGGTGAATTTAAATATGATGTATTTGATATATTGTAAGAACTTTTATAAACACCACAATGTAACCCCAGCACAATAATTGAAAAAAAAAAAAAAACAATGTTCAGTTAAAGAGTTCTGAAATTTGTGACATCAGTTAGGGTTCAAGCTGAGTCTCTTAGTGGTAAGCGAAGTCAAAGAAACAAACGGAAAACTTGAAAGAATATTCTGGATCAAAAATATGTAGGAATTTAGTACATTCTAAAGATGAGAAAACATATTTTATTTCTTCAATTATTACTGGAACAATAGCCTGGACATAAATGAGAAAAGACAGCTATAACTGTGATGTAAAACTCATAAAGTCCAATCCCATTCTAACACTTAATAACTGTATAACAAAGCCAAGTTATTGAATCACTCAAGAATTAAATTTCCTCTTCCACAAATGTGAGTAACATAACCTATCTCATAGCAATGGGCAAGAAGATTAAATGGGATTATGAGAACCAATTAAGTGTCCCTTTTGTCATTATTACTATTACCCACTCCTTTCAGCAAAGTATTTTCCAAATAAACAAAGATATAGAACACTGATAGTACTGGAATAAAACATAGGTGAGTATTTTTATAATCTGGCAGGCATGGTGTAAAACCTACAGCAATAGTGATAAAGCTCACTATATGGATTAAAGAGATATTTAAAAATTTTAGTGCTATAACTGAAAATATATATGCTAATACCTATTATCCCTAGTAGATAAGACCTCTTAAAAAGGAACTTATTTTTAAGGCAAACAACTAGAAAAATGTGAATATATGATTTATGGAAAGAAGGAAATACACATTTCCCAAATGGAAGAATGAAAAACTAGGCAAGATCACTAAAAATTAAAGAAATGCAAGTTAAAATGTAATTGTGTGCATGAATGACTAGTAAATATCCAATTTCCAAGGCTTAAAATGGTCTTAATACTGCCCATTGGTGCTTGAAGAAATAATCATTGTCATTTGTTAATGATCAAAGAGGCCTTTATAGAGGTCTATTTGGCTGTATATATTAAATTATTAGTGTGCATTTTATTTGATCCAGAAATAATTCTATTGCTGGAATTTCATCCTGTAGATAGTATAAAGATAGTCAAAGTCAGTCCAAAGAACTGGAAAATTTAATTATGGTGCATTTCTACAAAGGAAAACCATACAACGTTAGAAAAGAATAAATTAGAAGTGTATACTGACATGAAAGAATGTCCTGGAATACTGAGTGAAAAGGCAAGTGTGCACAAGAACATCTCTGGAAGAGTCATGTGGCAACTCTGCAGCTGGGTGGCTAATCAATGCTCCAGAAGGACCTGTGGGCTTGAATTTGTGCTCACAAGAGCACAGGGTGCTGATGCCACTAGTGTAT